AATATTCAGTTTTCATTTGTTAAAAAAATATATTCTGGATTTAAGTCCTTTATTCGATATGATTTGCAAATATTTTCTCCCTGCCTGTGCCCTGTATTTTTCTTTGAGCTTCTTTGGAATAGAGAAAGCTTTACATGTTGAGGAATTCTCAGATTTAATTGCATTTCTTCTTTACACTGAGGTCTCTACCAGAATCATGATATGTAAGGCACTGTTGTAGGAGGTAAGGATATAACAATAACACTTTTATCTTTAGGAGTTTACAGTTGAGTCTGGGCTGAGAGAGGGACGAAGAGTTAATAGAGAATACCATAAAACGTGATAAATGCAATAAGAAAGAAATGCTTAAAGTCCATAGAAGCCAGTTGGGTAAGTGTAAAAATAAAAACCTAAAATGTCTAGACATAAACAGTGAAGCATTTTTTTTAACTTTTGTTAATCTTGAAATGAAAAAAAGTCTAAGTACAACACAAATCCCGCGAGCCATAAAAATTTCTTTTTAACGTACGCAATGTAGACATACGAAAAGTAGATTTCCTTCATGAGTGGAGTATGCTGTACTATACATAAATAAAATAGGAAGAAAAGAGAAACATATTCAAAATTTAAAGACAGACATCTAAAAGTATATGCCAATGTTACGTCTTAAATGGCAAGCGCATACGTTTTTCCAGTTATTCCAATAGTAAAGACCAAAAGCCAGAGGATGTGGAATAAATAAGGGAGGCTGGGCTGATTCCAATAGGTAGAAATGCAAAATAGAATTTGCATCGGGAAGAACAGAATTAACACACATCTGAGTTCAAGACAAAACAAAAGAAAACGCAATTCCTTGTTGCAGGAACTGAATAGGGAACTTCAATCAACAAAATGAGCGGAAATGGAAATGAGAGAGTTCTCCAGGGAAAGGCATAAGAGTTGGGCACAGAAGCTTGGGAATGAAATCCTCACAGTGGGAAAGCAGACTGGGCAAACACTTCTCAGAGGCAAACACCTTTACCAGATTCTTGTGCCTCTTCTCAAGATGTGTTTATGCCTGTATAAGAATATGTGTATGTATCATTCTAACCCCTTTATTAAAACACCGTGATTACTTTATTCCCTATTCTTCACTTTGCTATTGCTTCATAAACTTACTTGGATGACCTTCGACACCAGTACCAACAGAGCTCGTTTATCCTTTTAATGTTGCCCGTATTCCACTGACTGGATATTGAAGTCATTCCAGATCCTTTGTTGGTGTGGATTTGTTTCTATTTACCTTGCTCAGGGGTTAGTTGGATTCTTTAATCTGAAGACTAGAAGAACTCTTAACCATCATCTGTCTTCATACATTGCCTGTTACACGTTTTCCCCAGTCTTTCTGAAGATATTCTTTTAGCTTCTTATTCTAAAGTTTATGTCTTACATTAACGTTTATGTTTTTCACCCTTTTCTGTGTGTACTGACATTCTCAGATATATACTTTCAATGACATATTTTACCTTCATCTTCTATGCTGTTATTCAATTGGTTAACTGATTTTAATTTTAAATACACTATTTTTTTAAACTTTTGAACTCCTATTTGATTCTTCTGCAAATCCACATTTTTAACACCATATCCTGTTCTTGACTTATAATTTCCATTTCTTTATTTAAAAAGGACATGATAATCAAAACTAATTTTGGATTTTTTTAATCTCTAAATTATGCTTTCCCCTGTTATGGTCTATTTTCTCAATAATTTACAATTTTGGATTCAAATCTCTTCTTTAATGAGAGTGGTTTCACTGAAAGTCTCATGGATTCTGGATGGTGGGAGTTTCCCTACAGAGCTCAGCTCTAACGCCTGGCCCTGTTGGAAAATAGTGATATCTCCTGGTCCCCTTTATGTTTCACTTTTATTCTAATTTCTCCCATTGGGTTAGCTGTACCACATAGGTAGCACAATTCAAAAAACAGAATCCCACAGGAGGCAGTAGACTTGTACTCCAGTGGGTGACATCTTTGTGGGTTTTTTTTGTTTTGTTTTGTTTTTTTTCCTTAAAGACCTAGATATGTGTCAGGGACATGAGGGTACTTGATTTTCATTGTATAACAGTTGACTATTTTAACATATCTCTAAATTATTTCATCAAAAGCATATGGATAAATATATGTATTTATATCTAATCTAAGCTTTAGAGAACTTTACATGAAAATTAAGTCAGAAAAAAATTTAAGATTAAAGCAACACATTGTGGCTTAGTCCAAGATATGGGTGCTGTTTGAATACTAAATCTGGAGGAGAAATGAGACTGTATGTGTTTTCAAATTTTAATTCATTATAAACTGGCTCCTATTTTATTAAGTAGAGAATGTACCTGGGTCCCCTAATGCATTGCTATCATGCTATGCAGGTGAGTTTTCCTATGGTGTGGGTATATGAATATTGAACTATAAATGAATCCAATTTCCTGAAAGTCTTCATTTCCATGATGGAAAATAGTCAGGGAAAAATCTATTAACTCTTGCTTTCAGTTTTTAAAATGCCAAGAAGAATTCATTATGACTTTTAAAAACGTGAGATGGAAGAGATTTGAAATAAAATCTTGGTATAATAATATTAAAAGGTTAGCAAATAAAAAGCTATGGATGCTAATGCTTACCTACATTTATTATATATATGCATGTGTTGGGATATTGAACATTTTTTATTATTTATTCTATACGTAAGGTTTTTTCAGATTCATATTTACTTTACTATTATTCAAATCCTAGATAAATGCAGAGGTGGCAAAAAATGCCACAGGTCATTGAAGGGAAAATGTAGGGAGTGTTAAATGTAGTTGTCATCATAAATAAAGAATAGCAGTGGGGTTATTAGGGTTATGAAATATTTATAGTAACATAAATTATACTAATTATTAACAATTCACATGTCGAGGTTAGAGAGGGCAAGGAGCGATGGTAACACATATATTAGAGTCATTCTTAAAGAAACATTCATCATTTATATTTTTGGCAAGAATTCCCCAAGTGAAAAGATCTACATTTTATGTATCTGACTATAAAAACGACGAGGTTTACTGATGGGCAATACAACTTTCCCCAATGGCTGATGCTCCTTTCTATTTGAATAATTCCTTGTTAATGAAGTTTTGCTCCACTGCAGCCCTATGAAGTTGTTAAACTGCATTTCCTAAGTGATGTTCTACTGGCCTCAGAAGCACCACGGGATGGAATGGGAGCCACAGAGGGAATACCAGTGATACCCAGCTCGAGGCCATCAGGAACTCTGGGCTACAGCCCTATTCTCTGCACCACAAACAAGGGCTTCAGACGTAACCACGGCTTGGGATGGACGCGGTGAGACACGTGACACGTACATCTCTCCAACGTCTGTCTCCACCTAAATCATCGGCATGGCTGAGAGCACTGTAGATACACTGGGCTCTCCAGAGCTGTTTTCATTAGTATTTCAGTCACACAGAACTCTGCAGGCTGGTCTGGGCTAGTGGCATCATCAATAATACAATTTATACAAGAACATAAATTCTATATTCTAAAGAACACGTTTAAAATGTTAACACATTAATGATAATAGTGGCATACACGGAGAATTTTACATTTGTTATTTAATCTTCAAAAATATGAGGGCACTGAGGTTTAGATAAGAGAAGTAACTTAATTTTTATAAGCTGGGATTATTTAAAATTTTTACTATTGAAATTAACTGGTGATTGGCCTACCATTTACAAATAGATAACGCAGATATTGATACACATATAGATACGTAGATAACGTGTATATATATATATATATAGATAGATAGATAGATAGATAGATAGATAGATATAGATATCTATATATACATACACACACACACACACACTTGAGAATTAGGGCATGCTAGCAGGTGGGAGTGGCAGAGGGAAAGAGAGAGAGAATCTGAATGAGGCTCCATGCTCAGCCCACGAGGGGCTCGATCCCACAACCCAGGAATCATGACTCAAGCGAAAATCAAGTCCGGCGCTCAATCGATTGAGTCACCCAGGTGCCTCTACATGTTTAGATTTTGATCAAAGGTTGCACATTGACTTTGTATCAAGAGTGAGAAAGTCACGGCTGGCCTCTGTTGCTCTAACATCACAAAAACCCGATGCACCACTGACTTGCATGAGTCCAGAACTGAGCCTACACCGACTCTTCTCATTCAAATGAATGTTTTTATAATGTTTATGAAGGTGATGCAAACGTTAAGTTCAGCTTAATAAAACTATAACTGGAATCAGTTATTATTTTCTACAATCAATTATTTTATCTGATAATCAATTATCAGTCTAATAAATCCACTAAATTCTCGGCTGGATGAATCAGACATTATTTTCATTCTATGCATTAATTTAGACTCATGTAAAGTACATCAGCCAATTTTGAAAATTTCTTCTAACTTTTAGATCAAACATAGGTCTCCCAAATAAGATACAAACTATCTTATGATAAATAGCTCCCTTAGTTCTTCAACATTATATTCAAATAAATATATGTATTTTGTCAAATATAGCTTTGACTTAGTTTACTTAGATAAAATATTATTTTTTTAGGGTTTTTTTTTTTTGGTAATCTTTATTTATTTTTGAGAGAGAGACAGAGTGCGAGTGAGGAAGAGGCAGAGAGAGAGGGAGACGCAGAATCCGAAGCAGGCTCCGGGCTCCGAGCTGTCAGCACAGAGCCCGATGCGGGGCTCGAACCCACAAATGGTGAGATCATGACCTGAGCCGAAGTCGGATGCTTAACCGACTGAGCCACCCAGGGGCCCTGGAGAAAATAATTGTTTAAAACTGTTTTTAATATGATTAGAGAAACAGATATATTACATAATGTGGAAAAATCTAATAAATTATGTGTTTTCCTAGAGAGCAAACAACAGTGCCAATTATTTCCACATAAAAATTAAATGCAATCAAAACTATTTTCTATAAAAGATAACCTGGAAGTAATATGTGATTTGTCTCTCCAAGTATGTTTCCATCTTACCTGCTGGTTTACGGGAAAGTTTCTGTTGATTTTTTTAATCTGCAATGATAAATAAATAAAAGTGAGCAATCAACAAAGTTACACAAGAGCCCCCGAATTTTATGAGAATCTATTCTTCCTGAGTTAATATATACTGATATTCCCAACTGGCATACTAAAATCCCATTGCATATCAAACATCAGCTACTAATTTCTAAAAATGTTGGCTATCAAAAGTCTTCCAATTTTGATGTGTACACATGGTCCAAACAGATTTTCTTCTAATGATTTTGTCGCTTATGAGAAACAGGAAGCCTGTGTGTCCATGCACAGTCTATCGAGAACATAGAATAACTTTTTGTAATTTTTATTTTTCACTTCACTTTTTTTTACGTTTACTTGAAGAGAATTTCATGAGTGACATTTCATAACATTTTAAAATAAATCTTCGGAGAAAGAATTTCGTCTGTATTAAGTCATGTTAACGAACTGTAAACTCCAACTGGACATGAGTATCGGCTTTTAGACAAGTGAACTCATAACACACAAAGTCTTTGGTTCAACAGAAACTTTGCTAATTAAAACCAGTTTTTATTTTTCATTGGTTGGAGAGAGAAACTTAACGAATGCTAACTCTGTGTGGTATAATCTCACATCACACTAAACACAGGCTTTTCATTTAGAAATTATTTTCCTGATTTAGTTTATTTTTCCTTGTTGTTAGTTTTCAGTTCCCTTTGTCCTACTGATAAATGTGAACTAACAGGAAATGCAATGGATATGATGCACAAACTTGGAAAATCATCAAACGGCTCATGTGCAAAACTTACTGGCAACATGTGTGTCATTTAAAATACACAAGAAAACAAAGTTTTGGAAGATTTATGTGATTTCAGTAGGGACACACACACACACACACACAAACATATCTTTCTTAGATTACTATAGTCATTTCAGAATACTTCTTGTTTTGGTGAGGAATCAGCTAAAGAAAGTCTCTAAAACTACCAGTGTCTTCAGCTAAAATCAGGATGGGTTTGGAGACACAAACAGAAAGAACAGTTTCCCAAGAATCTTTTATTAATCAATAAAAAAAATCCATACTGAAAAGTTGGCAGAACTATGCTTTTTGCTAGTTCTTATGAATTGTTACAAAAAACTGTAAAATTCCACCAATATTTTGTATGGACCTTTGTCTTCCGGCACAAACGGTCTAGCTTTGTCACTTTTAACGTTTTCATCGGACAGAAAAGTCCAATAATCTAAATAAATGTAGCCATGCTCAGGCCGCAGTGATGTACGTATACAAACGAGCACACGTATGTGTAGGTTCGATAAATGCAGTGAGAAGGGGGGAGACTATCATTCGTTGTTTTCCAAAATCCTTTCGGTAATCTACCAATGTGAGTCCCGGTGCTGTAAGAGCTGGGACAGGAAAATGAAACACAGTGCGTTCAGAGACAATACTGTAATGATGCTCGTTTACAGAGTGTTCTGGAGCTGCAAGGTAGATGCATGATAACACGATCAAGCTGTGCCGTCATAGAGACCTCCGTCTGAATCCGGCCGTAACTGTTACTGAATTTCAGCAGGCAAGTTATTAACTACCCTGTGTCTACTTTTCATCCTATGCAAAAAGTCTATCACCATATGAGCTACACATATTTGTTGGAAAAGTAAATGAAAACACAAAGGTCGTGAAGTTAGAGCTCAATATGTGACAGTTATTAATATAATAAATAATCACATATAAAATGAATATCAAAGAAGTCTGGATTTCCTTCGAAGACAACGAGGGTGTTTTAAAGAAGCTGAGCAAAGATGCCTTGTTTTCTCCTATACTTTGCGAATCCCTTTCTGTTTTCTTGTCAACTCTAGATTAATGTCTATACACTCAAGTGAGTGGCAAATATGCGTGAACCAGGCTGGGGTCCAGAGCAGAGGTTGCCGGCTGAGCACCTCGAGAACCTCAATCACTAGCAGGCATGTCCCAAGTTAGAAGGATAAGGAATCAGCTGAAGTTTCCTCAGATGTGAAAGTCTTTCTCAGTTGGAAACAGTATGCCGACTTTTACCTAGGAATGTTCTACGAAACCTGAATTATAAATGAAGATTCAGTGTAGAAAATGTTAGAAGTATTTTCTTTTAAATGACTCATTTTGTCATCATAGGGAATCATATCAATAAAGCCGCTTATAAGATAAACATGTTGGAAACATTAATGACGATTTAAATTTATTTTTAAAAATAAAGCTTTGTGTCATACAATTGAAATAATGCTTAACTTAGTAAATGTAATAAAATATCAGGAGATAATATATTCTTTTTTAAAAGTTTGTTTTGAGAGAGAGAGAGAGAGAGCATGAGAGAGGAAGGGGCAGAGAGACAGAAAAGAGAATCCCAAGCAGGCTCCGTGTTGTCAGCGCAGAGCCCAAAGGGGGGATCCGACCTACGAACTGTGAGCTCATGACCTGAACCAAAACCAAAAGCTGATTAACCAACCATCTGAGTCACCCAAGTGCCACTAAATAATATATTCTTAATGAAATGCATTCATTGAGCAAAGTTTTAAAAATTGTCTACTTTTGGGGCACCTGAGTGGCTCAGTCAGCTGAGCGTCCGACTTCGGCTCAGGTCATGATCTTGAAGTTTGTGGGTTCGAGCCCCAAGTCGGGCTCTGTGCTGACAGCTCAGAGCCTGGAGCCTGCTTTGGATTCTGTGTCTTACTCTCTCTCTGCTCTTCCCCTGCTCCTGCTCTGTCTCTCTCTCAAAAATAAATGAACATTAAAATTTTTTTTTAATTTTCTACTTTTGGCAAGAATATTAATTCTAAATAATGCAAATCCTAAATTCTTTGCATTATTTTTAAGACCACTCTTCAAACAAGGAAAATTGAAATCTGTCAAGAAGATTTGTAATGTCAAACTTCTTAGAAACTAATGTTAATTATGTGTTATCAGAACCAGTCATTTGTGTTACGAAAAGCCAAAAAAATTAATATGTGTTGCACAAAACAGAGTCAGAGTCTGAACATGAAGGCTCAAAAAGATGAAAGGATATAACTGCAGTCACATCAAACTAGCTGCTTATGGAGCAGGATTACTTAAGTTATTAATCCCTAGGCTGTAAAGGAATAAGAGTGTGGGTTTAACTAGGACTGCCTAACATGTCATTCGAGAAGAGCAGCGAGTGACATAGACAACTACCAAGTAAAGGGCATTCAGGTGAAGGAAATCCATGTTAAGGCTTTTAGTCCGAAAGAGAAAGATAAGCCTGTAAAAACTGACTGTTTAACATCATGTTGACTGAAGTTAAGACTGTGGAATACAATTAATGCCCACTTGGAAATATAAGAGGATATAATTTGCATTGTGTATTTTTTCAGGAAGCCCTCATATCTTAATAAAAAAAAAGTAGGAACTATACTTGAATCAACACTCATAAGGTAAAGAAATGATAGAGATAAAGGAAGGGAGGAGGGAAGGATGGAAGGAAGGGAGGGAGGAAGGAAGGAAGGAGGGAAGGAAGGAAGGAGGGAGGGAAGGAAAGAAGGAAGGAAGGAAGGAAGGAAGGAAGGAAGGAAGGAAGGAAGGACGGAAGGAAGGGAGGGAGGGAGGGAGGAAGAATAGATAAATCTGCCAGGTGGAAGATTCTAGCTTGAAGGAATTATGTTGTTATGTTGCTACCTTAAGGAAAGACTTTTATTTCAAAGACAGCAAAGTGTTGTTTTGTTTTTTTTTTAAATCATTTTTAATCATATACCTCTTTACAAATCTGGTGAAACTTATGTGACCTCTTTCGGAGGATTTATAGATACTTTGAAACTTGATAGAGACTTCTAGAAAAGAAGAAAAATTAATGCAGTGGCTCAAGAAACACGGTTGATTTGACCTTCTACCATCAGGTAGTAAAACATGATTGTCCTACAGAGAGGATGACCACAGCACAATGAGCTGGGACTGACAGTGATGTGTCCAAAGCAGGGGTCTTTGTGTCTCCAAGAACCATATCCACCACCAAAACTTTTGCGAATCCCCTAGTGGAGCTGACCGGTGACTTTCTCTTCAGCGTTCCCCGGGGGTCTAGTTTCTACACTGTCGTTGTTGCATGTGCCTACTGAACTCTCCATCATGGAACCTGTAATTGCGGAGTCTTTATCTCCCTCAGCCTGGTGGCGTGTCCATACTACCTAACAAGCATTGCCAACCACGGTTAGCTATCGAGGGGGGCACATTTCATGTCGCTCCCACCTTCTCAAACTTGTTGATAATCCTAGATCTGAATCAAAATGATGCCAAGGGTTTCCTTCTGTTGCTGCCGCTACTCTGCAGCTCATCCCTAGGGCTCCGTGTGAGGCTTCCTCTTCATATTTGAAAATCGGTAATTGGTTCAGCTATCCTAATTCTTCCTTAACTAGGATCTGATTTAATCTTCTTTGTTAGAATAACCTTGTAATTCCAGTTATTACAGAACCGTGGAATTTATTGAAGGAACCCCATTTTTCCACTTTGTTGATGATTTCCATACAAGTAAAATTAACAGAAAGACAAAAATAATGGAAATCACTACATTAATATATATTTTGGACTGATGAGAGCCGTTGGTATTAGGAGCCGACATTCTCTCTCTCTCTGTCAAAATATAACGTGCTGCTGTAATTTTATCAGAAGTTCTGGAAATTTAAGTCTTATGACAAATCCCAATATGTAAAATTTCATTTACTTTTAATTTCAAAGACAGTGAGGACTACACACAAAAGCCTATTTGTAAACCCGTTATGGTTTATGGAAACCTATCTAAGGGATGGTTATGTTGGTTATGTTAAGAAGAAAAATAATTTAATTTTATAAATAGCTATGCAAAACCATTTTTTAATGTAATTCCAATCTTTATAAAAGTAATGGTACAGGAAATAGAATAAGTAAAATAAGAAAATAATGATCTTGGGACGCCTGCATGGCTCAGTCAGTTAAGCCTCCAACTCTTGATTCCAGCTTGGGTCATGATCACATGGTTTGTGAGTTGGAGCCCTGCATAGCACTCTGAGCTGACAGTGTGGAG